TTCGTTGTTATCGCTTTATTTTAGAGTAGTTCTATCAACTCCCGTCAAAAAAGGGTACCCTAAATTTATCGTGAACGGTGCCTTTAAGTATGCCAACAAAATGACTCCATGGCCTGCCCATAACTGCTTGTTGCCTATCTAGTCGCGCTAGGAAAAACTACAGTTACATGATGGCAAACAGACTTACTCCCCGGAGAGTAAAGCAAAACACGGTCATTCCTTTTCTTCACATTTTTCTCAAACTCTTTTTTGTTAATTCTACCTCTCTGCCGGCCATTTCTACGAATTGTTCAGTGAATTCTCTTCTAATTAGGCAACCTCTAATGAAATTACCCTTTTATCTATCCTTCACCTCACTACGATTGCACTTCCACTTTTTTTTCATACCATTACATTTTGTCCTTTTCCTTTCCTTTATCCACACTTCGTTCCCAATAAGGCTTCGAAATGTTGCTTCAATTTTGTTTACTGTTTATTTATATATTTATTCACTGATCCAATACGCCGTATCAGACATGTTGACGTTTTCTTCTTTCTGATAGCTTCATGAGCTTTACTTTCCGAATAAACCCTCTTCAAAAAGCTGAAGCTAGCCGGGAGCCCCTGATCGTTAGCCCACCGCATAAGCTCCCATACGCGGCGGTGAAGCTCTTTCGTACGTTCCTTTTCAATAAAGAGATCGACCATGGAATCTATTGAGCGGTCCACGGGTTTCTAAAAGTGCTTCCATTTTATTTCCTTTTTTTTTATTCATATTTTCTTTCTCTTCATTATACTTATTTTTTTGACTTTTAAATGCTTCTTTATTGATTCATATTTTCGAAGGCATTACAGGCTACCTATTAGTCTTACCAAGACCATTTTCGGGGATGTCAGCTCTTGGCTCTCCTGCTTGTTCAGCTTGTCTAAGGGGGTACAGAGCACCCCTGCGGGGGCTATTCACAGACTTCATCCCAGAAATCATCACCTACTAGTCATTCCACTGAGGTTTGTTCCTATTTCTCCATTATCGATTAATTCGATCACCGATCGATTTTACCACCTCCAGCTACATGAGCTCGAGAACTCTGTCTCTGGGTGGTGTTATAACAAACAGCTACCCGAAAAGTTGTATCAGCTGTTCGCATAAGAACGAAATGCCTCAGGGCAGTCGTGCAACATCATCGATTAGATGCCCATCATTACCTCATGAATACTACATTCCTCTCACATCCGCCCCAATTTCTAGGCGCTTCAGTTTTTTTCGGAACATAAAAAATGTAGAAACCTTTTTCGCAGAGGGAGATTCGTGAGAAAGTGCCTCTCACTGCTTGAGATTTCATTTTCGAGCATTCACGTCTTCTTTCATGTTCGCTCGAAACACTCGAGCTAGTGCAATCGTTTGGAGGGGGTTTTCTTTGAGACAGCAGCTTCTGGGCCCGATTCTCCACCCAAACCACCGGTATCACTCAAGTAAAGCACCAGAGAGACTCATTGAGGCAGATTCTCTGAATCAAATATATATAGTGATTATAGTTAATGGTTTTTCTTAAATCTGGGCGTGGCTATCCACCAAAATCGTGAAAAGCGTGGCAAGAAGTACCGAATCACGCTTGTACCATTGCTGGATCGAATCCTGCCTAGAGTAACCGAATCCTACGCCTTTTGAGCTCAGTATACTTCTGTTACTCATGCCTACAAGGGAATAGCCCCGAATTGGGATATCACATGAACCCCGAAACTTCCTAAACCTAGCCTATCTGAATGCTAAAGCTGGGCCTTACTCTGTGTCCCTTTACTTTGAACCCCGTGCTTTCCTTCAACAATTACTTACCGTACCTTACTTAATCGAACCTACTCGTCTTCTTTCTTTTTCTGTTTCCTTCACTGGAGCTCCTTCATTTATCAGGAGATAGATTACTCTACATAGATTAATTATGTTTTTTTTTCTGGGAATTCCCTCCCCGACTCACCAAGGTTGATCCTTGGATTCTGGCCTTCCTTCCATAGTGATTCCCCCTGCTAGATCATCTTACCTCCTCCATATAAGGATGAGAATAGTTCAGGCGATCCCGATCCAAGAGAAGTTATTCGTTCACAACCGTTTGTAATCTGTTGGGCGTAAAAGTCATTTGGTTTTTTCGATCATATTTTTGTTTACATAACAATAGAGAAGGGGTCTGCTTGCTTTTAAAGTTTTATCGCAGAATAACTAATCGATTACGACTATCCGGGCATAATTTCACGACATGGACAAAACCCCCAGATTCAATTCTCCCTACTCTTCGGGACGGAAATTCAATGCATAGGACATCCCAAAAGAGTTGAGTTCTTTGCTTTCTTATTCTATTCTGCACAGTCTACATATCTTGAATTTTCCTATCATTCACCTCCCCGTCAGTTACCAAGTACCCTCCTCGACCGGCTGCAAAAGGGTCTCCTTCACATGACTGGGTGATGAATCTGCTAGGAAATTACATATCTGGCTCAGAGCTCGACTAATTCTAATGTGGTCAGTTCTGTTGCCGGCCAAGGACCCCTTACATTAGTTCCGGCCGATCATCCTCCAACGGCACAACGATGTCTTTGATTAACTTCAATCTTCAATGCGAACGTCAACGACCACATGGTTTGGCATAAGCAGCCTAGTTTGCCGTATAAATGGTCTTAGGGATTTCATACTGAATCTAGGACCTCTGAAAAGACCCCATGGGTGTTATCGAGTTGAAAAGTAGCCTAGATGGGGTGCAAGAAGGGCTTAACTTCCGGTATTGTTGCCAACTGTAGCTTAGCTTCCAGAAGTGGACGAGTTTAGCGACCTCATAGAGGGTGTCATCATCTGAAATGGAGCACGTTTGTTGTATCAGATGTAATCAGCTGATGCACAATCAGCTATTAGCTAGCAAAAAGTGCTCTGCATCGCCGGGAATTTTCCCCAATACCGCTTCATTGCCATAACCGTCCCATCCACCTTGGACATGATATGACCGAGCCTTCACCACTGATATGCCCTTCTGAATTGACACTCTCGCTCTGAAACCCAATAAAGGTACATGATATTACAGTGAACTATGTATGTCATTAATATCTTTTATTCGTCGCTGTATTTATAATTGCTTCCCCATCTTCAATAGCTCTCCCATGGCCTGTTCCATCTCTCCGTTGTTCCTAGAAGTCGGAACCCACCGGGAAAAGCCAGGAAGTCACTTGCTACCGTTCTATATCTTCATCTATTCATATTTCTATTGGGTATAATTTGATATGGCATTCATTCATGATTGAGGCAATCTGGACATTCCCAGAAACCAACATATGTAGGATCAGATTCCGGGATTTCTGCCCACTTCTAGAGAATGCGTTTCGTCCTATACGGAAGGCGGAATATGCTCAGCAGCCCCTCTCCACTCACTGATGACGTGAGGGTGTCTCAAGTGGCCCCTGCGGAAGTTGAAAAAACGGGTACTCTAGCTTAAACATGCTGTTTTATGCTTTATGCTTGAGCTATTTTAAGTAGAATGTCCTTTTGTCCTCTTTCGCTACCATCTCAACTGATTTTCGAAAGTTGTATAAGTAAAACAGGTAGGTTACATCTTTTGAAAGGTAAGTTGGGAATATAGTGAAGGAGTCGCCGCTTTCTACGGCGCCACCTGACGGTTCTACCTGGCGCATATTTAACTTTTGCTTCGTTGAGCTGTCATAAAGTAACTTTTTCTGTGGTGATGAAATTGAACTTTCTTTTTTGTTACATCAGTAAATTTTTGCTCCAGGAAGTGAGTGCTACCTCGGGTAGAAAACGCTTTAAAAAACACAATTTCTTATAATCGCAGTCGAAATCGACGGCTTTTTCTCAAAATTCGATTTAGAAACTTCTTCAAAGCAAATAATCAGACCTGAAATTTTTTCGTCGAGCTAGCCGGCTACTCCACAAGCGAAAATCGGGTTCGCTCGAAGCTTTGGCCCGCCACTGCGTCGATCTCATCATTTTTCCTTCCTTCATTCAAAATTTTTCTGAAATAAATCTTTTTAAGGAACTGATGGCAGCGATTTTGCCATTTCTCAACCTTTTATTCGAATTGTCTATCGGAACTCGTAAACTTCAGTTGGATCACACTTGNTGTAGCTGCTCTCACATCGCTCTACGTGGGGTTGTTTCATTATTATTCTTATTTTTTATTTCATGAGTGGCAACCTGTTTACCAGCCGTCCATCAGAACGCAAGCAATCAGTCCAACTGTTTCTCTACATATGTTGTCATCCTTCTTCCCATTGCTACTTCCTCCATCCTTTTTCAATCATTTCTTTGATTTCTGCGTGTTTACACCATCAGTTTTCCGCCGTCTTCCAACTATCAGCCTCGATGAGTTGTTCAGGAGCTTCTACACGAATCGCCACTGAGCGTAGCCACTTTGATGTGTTATTCCTAAGTCTTTCCCTCTACCGATCTCTTCTACTACACTACTACTACTACTACTATGGTAAAACTCGATCGATTCGATATCGTGCTGAACAATCCGGAAGACGCCTATTTTGCTGGTCAAGAAATTTCTGGAAAGGTTAGCGATTGGATGGATTCAGGAGAAGAATTAGTTGGAACTAGCCGTAAATTCAGTTTATCTCGTCGATGTCATGAAATTAAATTGCAATAAAACCAGATGAAATCGCTATGCTTGATTGCAGGGGACGTATTTCAAAGAATTCTTCCTTTCTAATTTTGTTTAGTCAATTTTCGATTACGTACTTATCTGATAAGGGAAATGGATGAAATTGAAATGAGATTGTGATTACTGCCTTACATCAGTGGCTCTGGAAATGGTAATTGTAAAGCTGTAAAATTAAAGTCCATATTCAGGTCATCATTGAAATTGGAGAACCAAAAAAGGTCAATGAAATATTACTGGAATTAAAAGGCAGGGCTCGAACCTATTGGACCAAACATTCCGGTGAGCTCTNTGAGGGGGAGTACAAGTGGGAGCCACAGCACAACAAGCTGAGGTTGCCACATGATTTATCGATGCTAATCATCCCCTTCAGTGCCTATAAAACACCTCCTTAATGTTTTTTCCAGCTTAATTATCGCCTAGAATATGCTCCCGAGTGCAGGGGCAAAGGCGTCACGCTGACTGATTTCTATGATTCAAATTGCTCGTTTCCAAGTAAACAAGATGGGTCTGGAGAAGAATCCCCATACAATGAAGGGTGCTCGTCTTCTTTCTTGTCGCAGAGAAGGAAAACGGAGCGTAGAAGGGAGCAGGACACATTGGGGAAGTGACCTTGCCCGACTTTTCGAGACCCTGAATCCGAGTGATGGAAACCTTGAAAGGCTGGACGAATCTACCCCCAATCACATTTCACTTCCGTTAGAAGGGGTGGAGGATTATGGTATTCGCTGTTGATAATTCCTGGTCAACCCCTTATAAGCGACCCACATGGCCAGTGACAGCGGGCCTTGTTAGGCTTTCCACTCGTGACATTCTCTTTGTCCGTCTGACGTGTATCCATTGGGAGATGGGTAAAAAAAACCTTTCGCGCTGACATTCGACATCTTGCATGACAAATGACCGACAGATTGTTCCTTCCATTCTATTCGCAAGCAATGGGAAGCACAATGAGAGGACTGGCAGTGCAGTGCACCCGAGTCGAACATGATTTCACCATCAGATCGATCTGGCTTGAGAGGGCTGGGAGTTCAGTCCGAGTCTGCTACAACTGTTACAACTTCACTGAAGATTAGATAACGAGTCGCCCAGAGTATTCCTTAAGTTTCCTTGAGACGACCCACATTTTCGACTCCTTTCCAAGGTTTGTTTTGGTTGCACTTGAAAGTGTATTTGGGAATTCCATTGGGAAGTTTTCCCGTGGTTCTGACGTTTTTGGGGGTATTTTTGCTCTCCCATTACGTAGGCGCAGGTCGATAGCATTTCCCTAGCTGGCCATCAATTTAATTCGCTGTCTTTGAAGCCAGATATATGGCTAACAATGGAGATTTCCTGAATTTCACCACGTCGGGACCTTAAAAACATCGAGCCCAGCTGAAAAACGACGAAGAGAGACTAGGCGATGTCGAAGTCAACGAACGTCCATCAGAGTGTGCGAATAGTGAAAGTGAAACTTCAGGGTGGTGGGCCGTTCGGAGACTTGCTTGACGTAGATCGGTGGGAAAACTAGGTCTTATTACCTGGGTACAAGGAAATGACTAGTTGACTGAAGGTTAAACTGACGGAATATTTTCTAAATCCCATCTTTGGATTTTCTATTCCCTTATGCCGTAGGGTATTTGGTGCGGGAATGGAATCTGGGGTCGATATCCGCCTAGGCCAACCGAGCCTCCCACCCCATCGGGTTCGGTTAATTGGTACCAGACTTCTCCGAGAGGATGAAAACACCTTTTTCACATCGGCTCCGCCACCTCAGGTACTTGTAAAGACCCTCATACCCATTTGACACGCCCATATCATTCTGAATAGAAGTCGAATGCGGGGGCGCTACACTCAGAAGAGTTTGATCAATGACTATCCCAAATCCNAGCTCATAAAGTGAGCCTGAATCGAAGCTGGACTGTTTTCAGGTAAATCTCGGAAGCACGTCTCACATTCTGAGCCTTATTTCCTGGAGCAGTTCAATACGGCCTACACGCATAAGTTCACAGTCACTAAAAACGGAAAGGAGAAGGTTCCTTGGCTTTTTCTTTTCGATATGGTTTTATTTTTACGCTTTCTGTACCAAACATTGTTTTGCAAGAGTGGGAGTGAACATCGTTCTGTGGAAAATAATTCATCTCGCTTCTGGTGGACGCTTTGCATCGTATTTTAGAGCCTGACTTACTAACTACAGGATTATGGTAAAGTGATGTATGTCTTTTGCATCGTAGAGCTGAGTTGAAGGCACAGTTCACGATGAGATGAGCCTCTGAGATTCCCCCTACCTAATATGAACCTGTATCCCCCGAAGACAACCTTAGGGACACTGTCGGGTGGAAAAACAGCCTGTACAGGGCGCGAAAGGGGCCCTAAAAACTGGCTTAGCCGACGGACACACCCATAGGCGGACGAGTTCTCACGGCGTTGTAAAAGCTGTAGAGACTGCGTCATTCGTACCGAGGCCCACACGTTGCCTGTGCCTTCAAATGTCCATTTTCACTGCACAGTAAAGATAAAGTACTGTAAACTATTAAAATCGTATAAAGTAGTGTTGCTTTGGAGAGTAACTATCACCAGAAAATCCCTTCATCGTGAACACTGCCTTCGAATCGGCACAGCCTTGTTAGCCTAACGCTTGAGTGCTTGTCACTCACCAACTCTCCAACAAAGGGTACTTGGGTGAGCTTGGGTCAATTTCCGGTGAAAGCGAGGAAACACTCAAACGAAAAGATCCAGACTAAGAGATCCCTGAAACAGGAACGAGTGCTGCCTGCTGGAGTACACGAGATCCCGTTCTCCTACACGTTGCCCAAGTCTCTGCCCTCTTCGTTCGAAGGCGAATTTGGCCACATCCGATACACATGCAGGGTGAGTTATCTTTTTTTCA